TCATCAAGACGGGGCTGCTGAAAACAAACATCATAGTCAATTATGTAGACCAAGATAACGAGTTGGCATCAGTATCTTTCATCAAAACATGAATTATATTGTTGAGTTTCCCCCAGGAGATGTTGGAGGCATTATGGCTCCATGCTGGCCAGGGAACCTGCAACTCCAACCTGGGGAGCAGGTGGAGGTTGCTGGGGCAAAGATGACTTGGGATTCTCTGCTGAGGCTGAAACCCCGGTGACCTGGACCTGGACAAGCGGATTAAAAAAGGAAGGACAAAACTAGTTTTTTGTTGTTTTTTTTAACAATTGGAAACTCTTCTTTGAGTCTATATAGACACCTCCCTTCCCAGAGGGCCGGAATCCAGCATGTTTTAGTTTGTTCCCTGCTCCAACACAGGGGATTCTGCGGTTCAGCAGCTCTTCAGGCGCTGCAGAAGCCTGTTAATTACCTGCTGATTAAAACCAGGTGTGATGAAAACAGCTGAGACATGCTGGATTCTGGCCCTAGGGGAAGGGAGTCGTCTACCCCTGCTGTTGGGGCTCACGGTGGCCCAGGGTCCCTGCTTAATGGCCAGATATAAACACATAAGAAAACCGGTTTGCCCCGCCCACTCCGCCACATTAAAAGAGATGCATGCTTTGTGGCTAGATTACCCCGATGTCCCCATGACTGCCTGAAGATAGTAACGGCGTGTCTGCGTGCACACGCACGAAGGAAGAAGGGTCAGGCCAGGCCACGGGTGCTTGCGGGAGTGCCGTTCATCAAAAGTCTAGATTATCCCAGAACATCCTGGAACTTTCGTTGTACACCCGTGCAATTACAATAAAATAAAATTTAATCTGGAAAGGTGCTGCTACGTTCTTCTCTGTCGTTTTCCTCTCGGTCAACGTGAACATTTTACCACGGTATTACTGGCCGAACTTAAAAATGATGACAAGAGCCTCAAGTGGAATTACCAAGCTGTTGGTTCAGACCTAACCCTAACCCTTCAGAAACCAAACAACAAGCAATATCAATAAAACAACAACAAAACAGCACACATAATATTAACAACTTTTATAAAATGCAGCTTACACGAGTTTTTTCCCCTGAAAACAAGAACGTTTACGTTTACCGGCTTCAACCTCCGACTGCTGAAAACGACGCGCCTGTGACCGACTCCTGGCTAAGTACCTCATCAGTGTTTACCGGCTCTCATTTTAAGTTTGCTTTGAACCCAAAATACTCCCAAACTGCAGAAGTTGTGCTGTTTTTACACGTCAGCTGGTGCGCGAGCCGCCATTTTTCTCGTGGCGTGCCATCTCAGTGCTGTCACGTGATGAGATCACGTTCATAAACTTTACGGAACGTCACTGACGTTTTAAACTTTTCCATCCTCGTCTCCTTCAGTGAGGTAGTCAAAGACTTTTAATGACCGGACGAGTCAAAAGCACGGGAGTGCTTGAAGACGGCGGACACTGAAAGGTGGTTTCTTTGGTTTACCACAGCAGCAGAGCATCTGAACAGGAGGCTGACTGGGACTACTGATGAGCTGCCAGGAAGGATGAAAGTAGAGCTGAACGATTTTGGAAAATTATATAATTGTGATTTTTTTTCTGCCATTTCATTTGTGAGTTTTTCTTAAGTGGCTTTTCTCAGATTTTTTAACTAATGCAAGCAAGAAAATTAAATAAATGTATTTTTATGGTAAATTGTCTGCATCTGATATAGCGCCTTCTTGAGACCAGGAACCCCCTAAGGCACTTTACAACACAATCAGTCATTCACCCATTCACACGCTGGTGGGGATGAGCTAAGGTGTAGCCACAACTCGAATCAGCACCCTTCCGATTACGGGGCGAGCACTTAACTCCTGTCCCACCGACACCCCAACATCAGATTTATTATACATAAAACTACCCGTACACAACTCGGTTAGGGATCTGTTGGCTCAACGTTTGTTTCCTGGAAGTTGAAGCACTGGTGGCGGGCATTTTAGCCATGCACCCCTCGTATATGGTAGTGTGATGGGTTTTTTTTTTAGGTGTTAACAAAGCGTTCTAGTGTTACCTGGCGAGGTAGCAACAGTAGCAAGGCAGGTTCTGCACAACACCTGGCATTGTCCACCATCTTCTTTTTTATTGCCAGATTATTCAATACAACTGATGTGCTAGTCCTCTTTGGTACCAAATGTTGTCTATTGCACCTGAGGCCTTTTTAGAACAGGTTAACTGGTCTGAACCAGGATCCTCTGGAGGTTTATTCCTGTTAAAAGGGAGTTTTCCTCTCCACTGTTGCTGCATGCTTGCTTAGTATGAGGATTGCTGTAAAGACTCTGACACTAGTCAGTGACTCGATGCAACCTGCTGGGTTCCTTATATAGGAAGCTTTTTACTGATTGGTTTAATGAACTGACCTGTGTTGGAATGTTTACTATGTGAAGGTCCTTGAGACGACTCTGGTCGTGATTTGGCGCTATAGAAATAAACTCAAATTGAATTAAAGCACAGCGTTTTCTTCTCTCCATGCCTTGTTTGAGGCGCCTGCAATTCACGACTTTCCCCGACCTCGCGACCAGCCAAACCGCCTTTGCCATTAGAAAATCTCATTTTTTTCATATTGCAATATAATTGCAAATGCACAAATGCAATTAATCAGTCGGGTTTAGATGAAAGTGGCAAAAGAATAAACGTCTGAGGAAGCTTGTACTGGCTTCATGAAGCTAGCATCAGATTACACACACTGAACTACATTTAAATCACGATGGCTGAACAAAGTCATGTTGGAAGACTTGTCGTTTAATCTCAAGCTTAACCGATGATCCATGTACAGTTATTAACAAGCTTCATATTCAAACTTTATTTTGAAACTAGGGCTGGACGATATAGAAAATAGTATATTAATAACAAATGTAATAATGATCTATGGATAATTGAAAAAACTGATAAAAATTGTAGAAAATATATTTTACGTGCAGCCCTGGATATTTATTTTTGGGATTTTTCTGTTTCTCTGCCTCGTCTCGCTGCGACATCTTGCTGCTTCATGCTCTGTTTTGGTTTGAGAGGGGCGGGCCTGGTGACGCAGCGCGCCGAGTCTGTGGTTTGGATTGGTTAGGAGTAAGTAGTGAGTCTAGTATGCTGCTACCTGATAGGTTATAATGAAAAACGGAAACTTTTTTCTTTAATCGCACCACATGCCTATCAACAGATATATTTAACTACTGAATTATCGCCCAGCCCCATTTGAAACTACTTAAATAATGAAAAGATATTTGATTTATTTTTGTAAAGATGAAATTGGAACTTTGAGGTTTTATTTCTTGGTAAACAATATAAAGTTGAAAGGGTGACTACTGAAGAACGAACAAATATCGTCTACCTGTTGAAGCAAACCTCTCCTCCCCTGCTCCATGTGTCCCAACCAGAACGTCTGTTCATTTGTACGAGAAAGTTAGATTTCATAAGGCTATGAACATTATTTTTATAATTTAGACTTATGGTTTCTGAGATGAGTAGCCATTTAAATTTGTGGCTAAACCTCCCAAAATTGCATAATATAATACTTATTTTCCACAATTTCTTACGGATGCACCGATATGGATTTTTAAGGCCGATACTGATATTAACATCGCTTCTACGGCCGATAACAATATTTGCAAATACCGTTTTATGCTTCTGAAATCAACACATTTTGTAAAGACTGAAATTATGCAAGCTGGAGTTATGAATGTTTTGCTTTATTTCGATAAAGTGGAACTTGCAATATGTTATACACACACTTACACTTGTGAGAGGATTACCATCACGTCACAGGACTAAACAATCACACGTCACCACCCCGCCTTACCCTCTGAAACACTAACGGAAACAAGATATCGGTAGGTAATATCGGCCCCGGTTTACTTAGCTGACGATACCGATTTGTTCAAAAATGACCAACATTGGCTGATACTGATGCCGATGTATCCTGCATCCTTAATATTTTCACTAATTCTGGTAAAATCTCACCTGAACTACATGAAATCATCTCATCTTGACGCATTAAGCAACAGTTATAATGATGTAGCGGCGTACGGGTTTATGAAATATCATTAGTAAAATTATTAGCTCATTCTGATAGGTTTAGACAGACAGGTAGATAGACAGATATCATCCAGGCACGTGCATCATCAACAAAAAGTGTTCACGTGAACTGACACAACAGTAGGACTTAATTCCAGAGGATGCCAGCTGGTGTGTTTAGTATATATAATCTTGGGATGAATTTGAATACATTAAATCACTTTATTAGCCATTTAGGGACTGAGACTTTGAAGATTTGACGGATATTTTAGCCTCTCTCTCTCTCTCTGTAGGGTTAGGGTCTGGCAGACCTGGACTCGGAAGGGAGCAGCATCCTCTTCATCACTGGGGGCTGGGTGTGTTGCGCACACTTTAACTGTCAGCTGGTCGCAAACTGATACCGACTAACATGTTAAAACTCTTATTCTCTGAGGCACGTGGTCCGAACGGAACCTGCCCTTCGGGTTCGGAAAGGTGTCGTGACGCCGAGCGAGGGGGGAGGAGGCCGGAGACAGATGGAGAGGTCGCGCCTGGAGGTGTCCGCGATAACAACCCAACTCGTGAGTTTGTTCTTCTAACTTTCCGTTTCTCTTGAGAGAAACTCCGCCGGTCCAACGGCCGCTTTAACGCCTCGTACGCATTCGTGGTTCTGACTGAGCCCGGTTCCGTCGCTGTCAGTTCAGGACCACCAACAGGAACTGGTCCCCGGAGTCGCGCGCGTCGTTCTCTTTTAGGGAAACTAAAATGTTGGCGGACATGTTTTAATGTCGCCGTTTACAGAAATAAAACTCCGAAGTTTGGCCCCTCCGCCTCGGCCCCGGCGCGTGTGTCATCAGACAGCTGAGTCGACCCGGACCGACTCCGGAACATGACAGCTCCGAATTCAAACCCAACAAAACCCGTCGAGTTCAGCATGAACTCCGCCGAGCCGGCGGCATGAGTGCGACTTCTTACCGTGAAGCGGCCGCGCAGCGCGGCTCCGGGCGTCCGCGCAGACTGAGCGTTATCGGTGAAGTTGGAGCCGTGTTGTTGGTCGTACTCCTGCTGGCGAGCACGGCGCAGCGGCTGCTGACGTGACTCTGATAACTCCGCATTTGCATATTAGTGACTCCGTCTGTGATTGGACAAGCCACAATTTGCCAAAGTTTCGCGAATCCGTGTGAAATTAGAAACCGGCTGGCGCCGCGCGGGTTCGTGGGCGCCCGCGGCGAGCCGACTAATCCCGGAGACCGGCTGATTAAATCACGATATCAGCTGGAAAGTCGCTGTGTTGACATAAGGCATAAGATGGCCGCGTCCGAGCCGCAGCCAATCAGAAGAGGTTTTACTTTTCGCACATGGACAGGAGGCGCTCCTACGTGCGAGATGACAGGAGCGGGAGAGGGGCTCTCCCTGTGGGGACGCACTGCCCTCTAGTGGCCACATCAAGTCTCTCCTGTTTCTTTCTGGATCAGCTTCCATTTTATTTTTTATTTCATTCAGCGAAAACATTTTTGTTGCTTTTATTGTATTTTCTGTTGTAATTCGTTAGGAAACTTAAAAACGTACCTTTATTTTTAAATAATTATCTTTCTTTCTGACTAAAAACAACGAGGTCCCACTAATCACTAGTGGAAATAAAAATTCCACACCAAAATGTTTAAATAAAACCTCTGATCTCTAACAAATGTTGCACGCTTGTTTGCCAATAAAAAATAAAGACCTGATGTGAAAACGAAAAAAAAAATTAAATGTATGCATTTGAAAAAGATGAGCAGTAAACACACATTCACACATATATAAATCTGTTGTACAAGAACAATAAAAACACCTATAACACCTTTCCACCTATTTGGAGCAGAAGTAGAATTAGCAGCTGATAGATTGTTGATGCAATTACATTAATGAAATGAATTTAAAAACTAGTTGAGATGTTCTTTGATTTGTGTAATGAAACAATTCTTACCTTAGAAAAGGGAGTTGGGTCTTCCTGCACTGAGACTAAAATTAACTTCTTTTTCCCATAAACTCACCTTAAAGGCTAGTTTGGTGGTTTTCCAGCCCAAACATGACCTTTATCAGTGGTTTTAGAGTTTATGCTCTCAGACTAAAAGCTGTTTGTACCAAAGATTAGTTTTTAGGCCCCGAAACCAAGCAATAGGACTAGATTTTAAACACTAATTTAGCTTTTACACAACTGTTTCATAGTTTTAATTTGCAGTTTAACATTGTGAGATGTAGTTATGGATTCTAGTTTTAATCTGTTTTTCCCCTTACTTAGATTATGATCTTTATCGCTGAACAGTTCAAGGGAATACGGACATTTCTGATGTAAACCATTAAATATCATCAATGATGATTAAATATTAGTTAGCAGGTCATTAAAGAAACTTTTTTCCAGTGTAAAAATTACACAAATCTAAAATATTTTTATCAAACCATTAACAGCAAGTGCTGAAAGTATTTCTCTGTGAAATCTTTAAGTGATTAAAATCCTAAACCAGTTTTTTAATAAGTGTAATGATTAAATAATACTCGTGTGCAGACAAAAGCTAGTTTAAATATTTTATTGGTTTCAGAGTAAAGATTCATCTCTCCTCGTCATTTACGCAGCAGAGACATAAATTTCATACAAAACATCATTCATGTTTGACGACAGCCGCCTGAATTACCGCGTGGAAAAGTCGTAATTAGTCCCCCGACCTTCAGAAGAGGTGTGAAGATTTCAGCAGCTTTCTAATCCGGTCACTCCTCGGGAGATTTGCATCATTTTAAACATCCAGCCCAACATCAGGAAGTAGACGAACCAGTTTAACCATTAATCCCAATTTCTCATCAGAAAACCTCATTCGGGACACGTTTCACAGCCTGGAATGGAAATCTGATATTTAAGATTGGAAGTAAATGACCCTACATTAAGGTTTAGAGCTGCTCACATGAATAACAGACTTAGAAAAATAAAAATGAATTTTCTCACTGAGTTTTTAGTCTCCTCCTTGAGTTGGGATTTCAATCACTAAAAACTAAAATTAAGGAGAAAGGAAGGCGGCCAGCTTTAGCACAGCAACCGTTATTTACACAAAACCCTAAAAACACAACAAGCAAAAACAAAATTCATAATTATGATCGAAAATCCAACAAAACAATGCGTGAGCCTACTTATGCGTCACCTCACTGAAAACCATTCCAAACATTTAGAATTATATTAGAAGCTAAAATTGTTTACACAATAAAGACAAGGACGCTAAATTATAACGGACTAAAGGAACCTACTGGAGTGTTTAGGGAGCGCCGTAACCGACAACATTCCCAGTTTGATTAACAGTCCTAAGCTGGTTTCTGTGAGTGGTCTCCATCATGCAGTCCACATGTAGAAAAAGTGCCTTGCTCTCTTGCCCCACGTGCTTCTGGGACTGCCTTACTGCCTGCCCAAAATGAAAATGCACCGAGAGCACCACAGCCTAAATGATGAAGCTGAGACATCCATTTGTCGTCAAATTAGACAGTAAAAATAGAAATATTTATTAGAGCTTTGTCAGGTGACGCCTATGTAGCTTTTAAAGCTGAGAAATAAACCGGAGAGAAGAACACTCCTAACGGTTTCCACGTTCATGGCCGAGGAGCCAGCAGCGTTTTATCCAACGTTTGAGTCTCCCTCTAGTGGTCACCGCCCCACAGTGCAGCTTCAGCTCTGAGGACTGTCCACCTTGCTGAAGGGCTGGGTAGATCCAGGCTTTACCCACGACAACCCCGACACCTGCGCTCCCTTGTGGTGTTCCTCCGGGCGTCTCTATGGCAACGCAGGAAAGAAAAGAAAGCACCGTTACGCAACAGCTAAACCAATGATCAGCTCACGGTCCGGTGGCTCAACATTCATCATAAATCTAGTGAACTCTTACTTTGAATGTGAACATCCTCTCTTTTGCTTCGTCGTGCACAGCGGGGTTCCACGGGGAAAAACTAAAACAAAGAAGTTTGTCACCGTTTCTCCCACAGACAGACTTTCAGACCCATGGCTCAACGTACACGGCAGCGACAGACCCACCTTATTGCGAAGGGATCGTCTACTTTGGGCTGGTCAAAAAGATGACTGTTGCATAGTTTAACGCCGTCCACCACCTTGCTTTTGAACAACTGCCCATCCTTTTCGTACCTGAGAAGGAAAGAGATTTTTTTATCCAAAGCTACAATGAAACAGCAGCACCCGCAGGACCCGTTAACACCATCTCACTGGGCTGAGACCGTTTGTGAGACGCTGGGAACGGTATTCTCCAGGGACTTTCCAAAATGTCTGCGAGGGTTCTCAGTTTCCTCAGGAGTTGCAGGACTTTGTGTCCAAAACATTTGAGAGAGAGAGAGAGAGAGAGAGAGACAGACAGACAGACAGACAGAGAGAGAGAGAGACAGAGAGACAGAGAGACAGACAGAGACCGAGAGAGACAGAGAGAGAGAGAGACAGAGACAGAGAGAGACAGAGACAGAGAGAGAGACAGACAGAGAGACAGACAGAGACAGAGAGACAGAGACAGACAGAGAGACAGACAGAGAGACAGACAGAGACAGAGAGACAGAGACAGACAGAGAGACAGACAGAGAGACAGACAGAGACAGAGAGACAGAGACAGACAGAGAGACAGACAGAGAGACAGAGAGAGAGACAGAGAGACACACAGAGACACAGAGAGACAGAGAGACAGAGACAGACACAGACAGAGAGACAGAGAGACAGAGACAGACAGAGAGACAGACAGAGAGACAGACAGAGACAGAGAGACAGAGACAGACAGAGAGACAGACAGAGAGACAGAGAGAGAGACAGAGAGACACACAGAGACACAGAGAGACAGAGAGACAGAGACAGACACAGACAGAGAGACAGAGGCACACATCTCATTGCTAAGATTGTAAATGAAAACGAACATTTTCCTCAGTCACAGTCAAGAGGGATACGGGCTTAAGTCAGATTTGTGTTTTAATCCTCAACAGCACACAGATTATTTGCGAGTGAAAATATTTGATAAAGTTCTGAGTTGAATGTCAGACATGGAGATCAAATCGGAGGCTCAGAGTCTTACAGCACTGCAGCTTCTGGGTTGAGCGGCTCCGCCGTGTTGATCTTGTAGAAGACGGTACGTGCGTACATCAGAACTTGCCAGATGTGGTTGTGGTTCCGCCTGCAGAAACACAACATCTTCATATTCGCCCCAGAGATAAACGGTGTGGTAATACTTTCAAGAGACATCTTGGGCGATGACATGATTGGGTTTATCTCTATAGAGCTTCCTCTAAATGACTACATTCAATGCTGTCTGGGTGTTTGTTTCCACTGGAGTGCTCTAAACAGCCTTTTGTGAATGAGTTCCTTCTAACTAACTAACTAACTAACTAACCCAGAACCCTTTTCAGACTGACATTCTGGAATATGTGTGGACACTTCAGTCCGGTTTTTAACCAGAACTGTGTTTTCAGACACACCACTTTTGTACCTGAACGTGTCCTTTCGGCTGCCTTCACACAGCAGGGAAAAGTTCCAGATGTCTGAGGGGGAGGGGGTGGGAAGGCTGTACCCGGATGGTGCAGCGGGCGTGCACGCGTCATTTACCCAAACAAAGCCATTAAGTCAAACATGGCTGACGAAGAGAGAATTCCTCTCACTGATCGGACTTATGTTAAGCATGATTCTGCGCACACGAAGACGCATCAGAGACCTGGATGATGAAGCTCAATGGTTAATAAAGAAATCACGGAAGCGGTGTGAAGCGCTCCGTCGCGCGTCTAGGAGACGGTACCGTAGGAGGTGAGCTGCCATGGTTCGCCGCATGCTACAGGAGCGAGCTATCTAGGTGCGCACAGCGTCCCCCGGTCCCCCCCCCCCCCGGAACTCGACCCCAGGTTTCCACCGGAGCCGTCAGCAGCACGTTACAGCAGCAGCATGTCTAGCTGCTGCTTGGCCCTTCCCACGAGACGCGAAGCAGCAGGGGAGCAGCTGTCACCGACCGAGCAGGAAGTCACACGAGTGACTTCATCAGTAAACACAACAACAAGCAGGAGAAAACTACAACATGGTTTGTGTTTTATGTTCTGTCCGTTTTATAATCGCCAATACGGACCTGAAAAACAAAGTAGACCGCTAGCTAGGTGATAACGTCTCACGGGGACACACAGTTAGTAACCTTTTTTAAAGTAAAGCAACCAGAAGGCAGGACGTTCTTTATTTTGAAAATCTCGGGAGCTTCTCTCCATTTCCGCGTCCGATTTCCTGTCTTTCCTTCCCCAAAAATGTCGAACTTCACCCGTTTCAGAGGCGTCGCGTGTAGAAAATAGAACCGGCGCGTAAAGGCCGCGACATGCTGCTCCTGAGACGCGGCCAACTCGTGCTGCTGACGGCTCCGGTGGAAAAGGTTCTGTTGACCACAGCGGTTCCTATCAGCAGCTATGACGTGCTGCTGCAGTAACGTGCTGCTGATGGCTCCCGTGGAAAGCAGGGGTCACCAGTCTGAAGCAGCAACCCTGTCCGTGACAAGTCCAGTCCTGTTTCTAGGGGCTTCGTCCGGTTTAAGGTTATCCAGATGTTTGTATTCAGACACAAAGGTCTAACGGACAGAGTCCCAAACAGTTCTGTTTTTCATGGCCCGTCTGAAGGGGGCTTAAGAGTGTGTTAGCCTCCAGTAGGAGGATTTATCTGAAGAAACAGCTGTGACTACAGTTCCACCCGTGCATCCACAGGCTGTACCTGGTGGTGGATTCCGATTCAAAACTTTATAAAAAAATAATCATGGAACATTATTTTTACATCATTACTGATCTACATAGAAAAGACAGCAGCCTTTTTGCTGCTTTAGATGCCCCAAGCTGCCTTTACCCAACCAGCCAAAGAAGGTTTTTTATTCTAGAACCCCTTGAAAGAAATTTGAAAGTGTTGGAATAAATAAATAAATAATTCCAATTCCATATTCCACAGCTGCAGAACTGGAGACTGATCTAAGATTTGAGTCAGTTTGATCGAATTCAGAACAGTTTAAATACATTTAGTAAAGTTTAACAGGTGTGTTTGAGTCAGAAAAGGGCAGAACGCCTTCTCCGGGTCAGGATGAGGTCCTGCCCCAAGTGGAGGAGTTTAAGTATCTCAGGGTCTTGTTCACGAGTGAGGGAAAACTGGAGCGTGAGATCGATAGACTGGTGCTGCATCTGCAGTGATGCGGGTGTTGTACCGGTCTGTCGTGGTGAAGAGAGAGCCGAGTCAGAAGGCGAAGCTCTCGATTTGCCGGTGGATCTACGTTCCTACCCTCACCTATGGTCATGAGCGGTGGGTAGTGACTGAATGAAATTGCGAATACAAGCGACTGAAATGAGTTTTCTCCCCAGAGTGTCTGGGCTCTCCCTTAGAGATAAGATGAGAAGCTCAGTCATCCGGGAGGGGCATAGAGTAGACCCGCTGCTCCTCTACATCAACAGGAGCCAGTTGAGGTGGCTCAGCCATCTGATTGGTTTACGGGGTAAGTCTAACCGGGAGGAAACCTAAAGGAAGACCCAGGACACACTGGTGGGACTAAGTCTCATCTGGCCAGGGAACGCCGTGGGATTCCCCTGGAGGAGCTGGCCCAAGTGGCTGGGGCGAGGGAAGTCTAGGCCCCTCTGCTTATGCTACTGGCTCCTGCAACCTGACCCCGGATAAACAACTGAAAATGGATGGATGAAGTTGGACAGTAAATTGATAAATGAGCCGCACTTGTATAGCGCCTCTCAGAGTAAGGACTCCAAAGCACTTTACACTACAGTGTATCATTCATCCATTCACACACACATTCACACACTGATGGTGATGAACTACGATGTAGCCACAGCTGCCCTGGGGCGCACTGACAGAGGCGAGGCTGCCGAGCACAGGCGCCACCGATCCCTCCGACCACCACCAGCAGGCAAGGTGGGTTAAGTGTCTTGCCCAAGGACACAACAGCAGAATTCTCTGTCTGCAGCCGGGATCGAACCTGCAACCTTCTGATTACTGGACAACCCGCTCAACCTGTTGAGCTACTGCTGCCATTATGTGCCAAGTTGAACCAACACAGCAAAAGTTTCACTCGTGTTTTTCTGACCTTAACAGCAAAAAATGTCAGAGAAAAGGAAACTCGCCTCCATTTGGTGAAAGCTCTTTTGACGTCAAGCTCTCCAGACACGGGATCGACCAGCGGGTGGAAGACTGGGGTGTCAAACACCAACTTCTGAAACGAAACCAGATTAAATCTGAAAATGTGTCCGTTAAGATGAAGGTGGAGACATTTACTGTACGTGACAGGTAAACGGGTAAAGAGAACTTACAGGACACTCCCCATCTGGATAGTTATCTGGAATATACACAGTGAATTTGAAGACGCCATCTTGGTACAAACCATGTCTGATGAATATGACTCCAAACCACACTACAGCAGAAAACGGACGGCATTCCCAGGGTTAGGAAAAGCGAACCAGTGACTTTAATGGCTGTAAAACTTAAACGAGTTTCTTACTCAGCGCTGATTTGTAGGATGGCTGGACGTAAATCCCAGGGAGTTTCTGCTTGATCACTAGTGTGCTGTAGGTCAGACCCACACAAGAGAAGAATCCAATCAGTTTGGAAAAAGCAAGTTCAGATTCCATTTTAAGGCACATGAATGCAGTTTGTGTTTTCTGGTACGTTCTTGCTCCAGTATAGCAAAAAGTACAAAAGTAGGACGCCGCACTAATACTCACAACTCAGCCATCAAAGAGTACTCCAGGTAAAAAGGGCCATAGGAGGCGTGTGTGCCGTTGGCCAAGTGGGATGGAGTCCCCACCGATGCTGGTTTGGTAATGGGAACAGCATTCTTAGGAATAGGAGGAAGGTGCTTTTTGTGAGAAGTTCGGGCCGGGCTGGTCTTCTGGTCTGCGTGCCCGCCCTGCTCCTCATCAGGTCTCTGTTGGATTGTAAAGAAATGAATCAAAAACACAAAAATGTTAAAAATTCCAGTTTGAGTAAGAGAGACAAACAAGGACATGTGGAATTTAAACTCGGAGCTACTGTGGACTCTCGAGCTGACCAGTGGCCCTGGGGTTGTAACCATGAGCTGGAACCAACCTCTACATTTACACCGTCGAGTCTAGTTTGTAGCTCATCAAGATACAAAGTCTAGACATGAACAAGCAAAGTTATCACCATCGCCCTGGTGCTACCAAGAGGAGATGTTACTGTACAGATAAAAATAAGTCAAATGGAGGTAAGGAGCAGTGGAAAGCTACTAGACACTAGAAAATCTGCTGACTGTCTCACGAAGCATAGCTGCAGTACTTAAAGAGCAAGTCACCCCCTCCACTCCCACTTCTTGTTTGAAAAATGCAACGAATGCTGTTGCCTGGCAGACCGAGAGGGCGGAGCCGCTAACAAATATACACAAATACAGGCTCACAATGGAATTATGACATTATATGGTACCAGCTGATGTCATTTGATACTTCTTACCCCTTCTTTCCACCGGAGCTGTCAGCAGCACGTTACTGCAGCAGCACGTCATAGCCGCTGATAGGAACCGCTGTGGTCAACAGAACCTTTTCCACCGGAGCCGTCAGCAGCGCGAGTCGGCCGCGTCTCAGGAGCAGCATGTCGCGGCATTTACGCGCCGGTTCTATTTTCTACGTGTGACGCCTCTGAAACGGGTCATGTTCGACATTTTTGGGGAAGGAAAGACAGGAAATCGGATGCGGAAACGGAGAGAAGCTCCCAAGATTTTCAGAATAAAGAAACGTACTGCCTTCCGGTTGCTTTACTTTAAAAATAAAAGTTACTAACTGTGCGGCCACGTGAGAAGTTATCACCTAGCTAGCGGCCTCCTTTGTTTTTCAGGTCCGTACTGGCGATTATAAAACGGACAGAACATAAAACACAAATCTTTTGGAGCCATGTTGCAGTTTTCTCCTGCTTGTTGTTGTGTTTACTGACGAAGTCACTCATGCTCGGTCGGTGACAGCTGCTCCCCTGCTGCTTCGCGTCTCGTGGGAAGGGCCAAGCAGCAGCTTACGCGAGCAAGACGTGCTGCTGCAGTAACGTGCTGCTGACGGCTCCTGTGGAAAGAAGGGGTTAGTCATTAGCAATGGCAGATTTAAACTCAAATGAACTAAAATGCCAAATTATTGACTACAAGTGTCCACAGCACAATCGGACACTCATTTATATAGTTTATCAGCAAAAAAAAAAGTTAATTTGGGGGTGACTTGCTCTTTAATAAACAATGACTACACAATCCCATCCTAGCCTACTGTTGTGTCCTTGGGCAAGACATGTCATGTCAATGATGCAAAAATGGCTGATTCACCTGTTTCACTGCTATATCAGATGCTGATGTACCATCTCTTGTTGGACAGGACTTGTGTTTAACTTTAATTCAGTGATATAAGATGCAGAAAACTTGTGTGGAACCCTCAGTAAACCAACTTAACCGTGGTGGCACGTCTCAGGCTGAATAGCTTATTTTGATGACTGATTATGGCTATAATGCAAGGATCAGACCAGACCAAGGAAACAGGAAGCAATCAACCCAGCAACAGTTCAACTCCCTCATCAATAAAAAACTAAATCTCAATTCAATTCAATAATACTTTATTAATCCCAGAGGGAAATTGATTGCTGTAGTAGCTCAGAATAATAATAATAATCAAGTCATCAAAGAGTTGTTGTATATTACAATGGCTGTTGGCAGGAAGGATCTCCAGTAGCGGTCAGTGTTGCAGCCAAACTGAAGAAGCCTCTGACTGAAGACACTCTTCCGTTGTCGGACAGTCTTGTGAAGAGAATGCTCAGGGTTGTCCATCATTTTCTTGATTCTCTGGAGAATCCTTCTTTGCATTATCTCCTCCAGCGGTTCCGAAACTGCCTAAACTCTGGCTGAGTCCTTGAAAGGGCTTGGAGTTCTTCCATCTTGTTGGCCAGTGATCTCACATTGCCCATTATGATCGATGGAAGAGATGGTTTGAATTTCCTCTTTCTCTGTCTCCGTTTTGCTCTCGATCTGCACCCACGCTTCTTGCGTTTTAGCTCATTTGGTATTTGTGGCTTCAGTTGAGGTATTATTTCAGCCTTTCCAATGTTAATCAGCTGCTCCCGATTGTAAACCATTTGTTGCCATGGTTACGCAGCATAACAAATGCTCAAAAAGTGAAAAAAAGCTAAACATTAGCTGTAAAAATCCTCCAAGCTTCACAGCACCAGAAACAGAAAAGTAAAGTGTCCAAAAAAATACAGTTTTTCTTGAGAAACTAGAAGAAAAAATGCCCAAGAAAAGGCTAAACTTACATATAGTCAACAGAGCTACTCCAACATACAGCCGCCCGGAGCAGCGCAGTTCCGGAAAGACGCATTTTTGGTTAGTAAAACTTTTTTTGGCTTGTCCCCCACTTAACGGCAAAAGCAGTTAAGTGTCCGCTCCTTAATTGGAAGGTTGCGAGCGCCGCCCAGTCCGTCACAGTCACTGTCCCCTTGGGCAGACACTTGGCTCACCTTGCCTGCTGGTGGTGGCGGTGGTCGGAAGGACCAGTGGCACCAGTGCAGCTGTGGCTACACTGTAGCTCATTACCACCAGTGTGTGAACGGTGAATGACTGGATGTGTTGTGAAGTGCTTTGGGGTCCTAGAAGCCACTTATCATAAGCAATTAGTGTTTTAGCAAGTAAAACATATTTATACCGAGAACCTTCACCAACATATTTATACTCAATTCTTCAGATTTTATGCCTAAATGATAATATATAATTGTTGTGACCCACAGGAACCTTAAAGAGCAAGTCACCCCTACCAGTTTTTTTACTCAACTCCCACTTCCTGTTTGAAAAAAGCAACAAACGCTGTTGCCTAGCAGACCGAGAGGGCGGAGCCGTTAACAAATACACACTCACGACATTGTGACATCATAATGTACCATCTAACATCATAGTGTATCTCTTAGCCAATAGCGATGGCAGATTTAAATTCAAATGCAGTGCAGAGTTTTTACCCGACGACAGTGCATCGCTGATCGTTTTAGGCAGAATACTTAATACTTTTAACTAAAAAGCCGAATTATTGAATACATTTGTCTACAGCCAGATCAGACACTCATTTATATAGTTTATCAGCAAAAAAAAATGTTGATTTGGAGTGACTTGCTCTTTAAATAGACTAATTTGGCCCAAGTGGAAACCAGTTTGGACACTAATGCTAAACTGGGAGAATAATGGGTTTCCTCATTAGCTTTGTAAACCCTATAGGACATAATATCCTTTAACATTGTGTGACGCAATCTTTTTAAAAATTCTGACTATAGGGTGAAGTTTTAATAGAAAAAAAGATTTATTCTATGGGTGTTGACGACCTGCATCATTCTTGGACCATAGTTTACCTTTCGGCTTGTGTTTGCAGACATGCTCCACAAGGGGTTCAGGTCCATTACTCATTCATGGGTTCAGATTGGTGTCCCTCTTGCACAAGTCCGGAGAAGGCCATCCACTGCTGCTGTTGTGGAAAGGTGAGAAAGTCAGCTAATTATTGTTGCTTCAGGCCCGGAAACACTTTGAAAACATTAATCACATGGTCAAAACATTTTAGCTGGACCTCAAGAAATTCTTAAGACAACCAGAAGCATAACAACACAGGTCTACCGCCACCAGGAGATCCGACATGAATTCGTCAGTGGCAGGTCAGCGTTGCGTACGTACAAGCACGTTTTAGTAAGAATGTAAGCGGATGATGTTACAAGAATATCATCTGTTGTGGACGTTTAGAAAGCCTGCTGAACAGATCCATTAATGCCTTGTCACAGAACACCAAGCTCATGGCTACGTTAGCGAACAGTACGTTCAGGCACCTGAAATCTTTTGGCACCAGAAATAATAGAATTGACATTTTAAAATATGGTTGAATATAACTTCTAAGCACGACGCCACAAGAGCTAAAGTTCATTTTGGGATGTCAAATGTTTGTTTTCCTCGTTAAGTGACGATGACTGTAGCGTTAGCTTACACGCTTCCGTTGACGTTGCTACGGCTTTATTTTTATAAAGCTCAACAATGTAACTCACCGTAGTTAGTCCGGTAAACGTCCCTTTGATGAGTTTGTGAACTAGTTAAACACGTTAACTTTGGTAAAAACGGCTTGTCACTCGTTTAGGTGCGCTTTCCGACTAGCTAGCTAGCTAATGTTGGTTATGTCAGGAAAAACAGAATTCAATCTAACATCTTAGGGGCGTTTTTATTGCACTGATGTAGATTCTCATTGGCTGATGCAAGAACCTTTCTCTCATCTGATTGGTTGATGCTTCTGTCGCGTTTAAGTAAATGTGTGACTTTAAAGAGAAACATCAGCTATAGAGAAAAGCTGGAGCTTGACGTGAAGAAGTGCTTAAACTTATTAACAACAACACTACTACTACCACTACTAAAACTACTACTACTACTACTATTACTACTACTACTACTACCATGGCTGAGGATTGTGAACCAACCACATTTTTTTTAGATTTTGTGGTACAATATAAATGAAAATGCACACTCGCTCCTTCCGGTGACTCCCTCGTTCTGCTGGGGGGACTTTAACGCTCACGTGGGCAGTGGGCAACGACAGTGAGACCTGAAGAGGTGTGGTTGGGAGGAACCCTGATCTGAATTCCAGTGGTGTTTTGTTATTGGACTTCTGTGCCAGTCATGAATTGTCCATAATGAACACCACGTTCAGACATAAAGGTGTCCATATGTGCTCTTGGCACCAGGATACCTTAGGCCGCAGCTCGATGATCGACTTTGTTGTTGTTTCATCTGACCTGTGGCCGCAGATCTTGGACACTCGGGTGGAGAGAGGGGCAGAGCTGTCAACTGACCACTACCTGGAGGTGAGTTGGCTCAGATGGTGGGGGAGGATGCCGGTCAGACCGGGCAGGCCCAAACGTATCGCGAGGGTCTGCTGGGAACGTCTGGCAGAGTCTCCTGTCAGAAGGAGCTTTAATTCCCACCTCCAACAGAACTTCCAAAATGTTCTTGGGGGGGGGGGGGCGCACTGAGTCTGAATGGACCCTGTTCCGTTCCTCTATTGTTGAGGCGGCCGACCGGAGCTGTGGTCGCAGGATCGTCGGTGCCTGTCGTGGTGGCAACCCCCGAACCTGCTGGTGGACACCAGCGGGTTCGGGGCCTGGTATTCAGGATGTTGTGGATCGGTGGGCAGAATACTTCGAAGACCTCCTCAATCCCACTGACACGTCTTCCAGTGAGGAAGCAGATTCTGGGGACGTTGGGTTGGCCTCTCAAATCTCTGGTGCTGAGGTCACTGAGGTGGTTAAAAAGCTCCTCTGTGGCAAGGCTCCAGGGGTGGATGAGATCCACCCAGAGTTCCTTAAGGCTCTGGATGTTGTGGGGCTGTGTTGGCTGACGCGGCTCTGCAACATTGCGTGGACATCGGGGGCAGTCTCACTGGACTGGCAGACCGGGGTGGTGGTCCCTTTATTTGAAAAGGGGGACCGCAGGGTGTGTTCCAACTACAGGGGGATCACACTCCTGAGCCTTCCTGGTAAGGTCTATTCAGGGGTTCTGGAGAGGAGGGTCCGTCGGATTGTTGAACCTCAGATTCAGGAGGAGCAATGTGGTTTTCGTCCTGGCCATGGAACACTGGACCAGCTCAATACCCTTAAGCCGGGCTTACACTGTGCGACTTTTTCACTTTTTTGAGCCGATTTTCCACTCGTGCGAGAATCCACAACATCGGGGCGAGTTTTGCGCCGAGCGGTCGTGTAGTGTACAGGGGGTTACGAGGGGCGATTAACACCAAGTGACCAGCTGCCGATCAGCAGTCGTGAGGTCGCACGGACTTCTGGCGTGTTTAATATTTCGCTCGTCCCTCGTGAGGGTATCGCACTGTTGAAGCGGCGCTGCGAGCAGCTGCGACCCAAAAAGTATCAGAACCGCTCACGGCGCATGCGCAATCCTGCATCAACGCCGCTTGCTATTTCCCTAATAACACACGCTGTTCGTTTTTATTTCTACACGTTTTTTTACTCACAAAGATTGTCAAGAAAGCGTGTTTGTCGTGTTCATGTCAAATTAAACTGATCACAAAACACAGATTTACTTTCTTTATTTCGTTTTCCTCATCCAACCCCCATAAATCCCCGTGTGTCCTCCTGCAGCACTCCTGAAGGACAACAGGCAAAACAAGACAAAAAAGTCTGACGTGTTGAGTAAAAAATGCTATTTTTAGCATATTTTTAGGGCCGACGTGTTGCTACCAGACGTACAGTGTGAGCAGTCAGGTCGCATGCGAGAACTGGGTCGTGCAGTGTGAGCACATGACTCGTGAGATCTGCTCTGCGAGGAAGTCGTACAGTTTGAGTTGAAGCTGAACGCTACGAGTGAAAAAGTCGCACAGAGTACGCCCAGCTTTAGGGGGATCCTGGAGGGTGCGTGGGAATTTGCCCAACCAGTCTACATGTGTTTTGTGGATTTGGAGAAGGCGTTTGACCGCGTCCCTCGGGGGGCCCTGTGGGGGGTACTCCGGGAGTATGGGGTACCAGGTCCTCTGATACGGGCTGCTAGGTCCCTGTATGACCGGTGTCAGAGCTTGGTCCGCATTGCCGGCAGTAAGTCGGGCTCGTTCCCAGTGAGAGTTGGACTCCGCCAAGGCTGCCCTTTGTCACCGATTCTGTTCATAACCTTTATGGACAGGATTTCTAGGTGCAGCCAAGATGTGGAGGGCATCCGTTTTGGTGGCCTGAGGATCAGGTCTCTGCTTTTAGCAGATGATGTGGTCCTGTTGGCTTCATCAGAACGTGATCTTCAGCTTTCGCTGGAGCGGTTCGCAGCCGAGTGTGAAGCAGCTGGGATGAGAATCAGCTCCTCTGAATCTGAGACCATGGTCTTGATTCAGAAAGGGTAGAATGCCTTCTCCGGGTCAGGGATGAGGTCCTGCCCCAAGTGGAGGAGTTTAAGTATCTCGAGGTCTTGTTCACGAGTGAGGGAAAACTGGAGCGTGAGGTCGATAGGCGGATTGGTGCTGCATCTGCAGTGATGCGGGCGTTGTACAGTTCTGTCGTGGTGAAGAGAGAGCTGAGTCAGAAGGCGAAGCTCTCCATTTACCGGTCGATCTACGTTCCTACCCTCACCTATGGTCATGAGCTTTGGGTAGTGACCGAAAGAACGAGATCACGGATAAAAGCGGCCAAAATGAGTTTTCTCTGAAGAGTGGCTGGGCTCTCCCTTAGAGATAGGGTGAGAAGCTCGGTCATTCGGGAGGGGCTCGGAGTAGACCCGCTGCTCCTCCACATCGAGAGGAGCCAGTTGAGGTGGCTCGGGCATCTGGTCAGGATGCCTCCTGGACTCCTCCCTGGTGAGGTTTTCCGGGCACTTCCAACCGGGAGGAGACCTAAAGGTAGACCCAGGACACGCTGGAGGGACTACGTCTCTCACCTGGCCAGGGAACGCCTTGGGATTCCCCCGGAGGAGCTGTTCCAAGTGGCTGGGGAGAGGGAAGTCTGGGCCTCTCGCCTTAGGCTGCTGCCCCCTCGACCCGACTCCGGATAAGCGGATGAAAATGGATGGATGGATGGATGGATGCACACGTTCAGTTTATTTACAATATTTTGTGAATAGGCATTATTTGGCTCTCACTGTTTATTCATGGTTAACCAAATTCTGTAAGCAGATTGTCAATAAATCAAACAAAAAGCCATCCATTTTCTTAATCCGCTAATCCACGCAGGGTCTTGGGATCAAACAAACAAACAAATTCATAATCGAACAAATAAATGAATGAATGAATAAATAAATAGCATGATTTCCATAGATCTATGAGTGAAAACCTAAAGGTTATTGTTTCAGGCTGTACTGAATATTAAACGTTATGGACAATTACATTAATTAGTGACTATTATTTCCTTTTCACTTCGGATAATGTATAAGTGCCACAGGAAACTTTAAAAGAGACAAAAATACACGCATCGTTGTTCTGCCTTTGGTGTTTCAGACAAAGTCCCTGGAGGTTACGACTCGTCCAAGCCATCTGTGCCACACATTTCTTTAGTTTCCACCACGCTTCATTGCAAGTTCATTCTGTTGATTGATTGATTCCTGACAATTACCCCTAATTAGTTTTTGGGAGAAATAAAAAAAAGCTAATTTAATGCATGGATGATTCCACTAATTGGAAGAAATGACATTGTCCAAGTTTCAGAGTAAATACAAATTATTGACTCCATTATTGTTATCTGATTGTGTATTGTCTCAAGTACACTTGACTGACAAAGGTAATTACTGTCCCATTTCTTTGTTGAGGCCACCAACAATGAAAGGTCACCGTTAGTTTTTTTTGACGCGCACAAATGAAAGACCACCTCAAAACAAACAAGTTCATGTCTGCTTTGCCTCCTTCGACATTGAGATGAACCGTCTGACCCAACAACTGTGCAAGCGTCCACTACAGCGCTTCTGTAATGAGTCTTTTTGTCTTTGGCGTTTCTTCTTTATCTAATCAATTATCATGACCTTGTTTGGTCGAACAAATACTGTGATGAATACAATTAAAGTGTGAAGATTCGATTGTCTAATTGAATATGTGACCAGTTGGAGCTGGATTTGCTTTTTTTACTAGACATTTTTTTACTTAACCCCTTGGAAACATATTAAAAAATATGTTAATTAGCATCATTTTCTACATAAAGAACCAAATAAATAAAATGTGTTTTAACAGAATATTTAGATTGAAGGATTCAAAAGGTACTGTCATACATGCAGTAAGAAAACACGTTTTCCTGTACAATAAAATCTGACTTTGCTGTCACTGAATGCAAGAAGTATAAAGTTAAAATAGATAATAATACAATGTCTTCAAACACATGCAAAGCCTCAATAAAACAATCAAAATATAAACTAGAATGAAACGCAGACTATGCAGGATATGGCCTGCGTACGTATTTGGGATTCATTTTAAAATACTTTTACTAGTTTTTAAAACGTTAAATGGTTTAGCCCCTCCTTACTTGGTGTCACTACTTCAACCATACACCCCTTCACGGTCACTCCGCTCGGAGAACTTCATGCTCCTCTCGGTCCCAAGAACGCGCCTAAAGACGCGTGGTGATAGGGCGTTTGCTGTGGCAGGTCCTAAGCTTTGGAATAAGCTTCCTCTGAGCATAAGGGCCTCCACCTCTGTTGCGGTTTTTAAGGCAAGGCTAAAAACATATTTTTATGACCTGTCTTTTAACCTTTCTAACT